GGTTTAAAGCCACAGTCATGCATTGCAGCCATGGCGACAACAGACTTGTGCCCAGGTGCATTGTCCTGGTGGACGGCACACCCTTGAGTTTTTCACAATGTTTAGCCTTGATATTCTCAATCAGTTGCCATAGCAAATTAGAATCCTACCAAAGCCATCACCTTCCCAGCTGATGGGGACAGGCTTTGCCTTCTTCCAAGGATGAGACGTTAGATGTTTCCACTGCTTTGACTGTTGAAACCACAGCACATCCATCGCTTTTAGAACAAAACCAGGTGGGTCTGCTTCAAAACGACATAAATCATCAAGAGATGATGAACCTTGAGCGTTTATGATCTTGGACCCCATGATACTGAAACCATGCCCAGTACATGGTTCAGACTGTTCTCAACTCTCTCATAAGCGATGCCTACTGTACTGGTCATGTGACATGTGGTGAGTTGTCAATCATCCATAATCATATTTCATATCTATCAACATTTGTCTTAAGAGGTTGCAGGTGAAGGTTTTTCTGATCTTGGATCATCTTTGAGGCTTTCTCTTCTTCTCTTGAACTCTGCTGCCCACCTCTGAACAGTGGCAAAGGAAAGGCAATCACCCCCTCAAGTTGACATGATGTCTGCATGGATGACTGTTGAGAGTAGTCCTTTCAGTTTGAGATACTAGGTGATAGTGTGGTAGCAAATTTTGTCCATTTTCGTCAACAGAGAATATCTAGTCAGTTGTGTACCAGAAGATATATGCTGCCTGGTTATGTACACAGTACATTGTGTACATGCAGCTTGTAAGCATGGAAAGTAATTGTACTTGATTCATGCAAACTGTAAAGGGAGTACTATACATCCTTTGTAGTTAGGCTTAGACCTTTTGAGCCATTCCTTGTACCTTGGTACATTTCTATTTATAATGAGTTGATAATAATTCCATAATTTCTACTTACCGGTATTTCTTATGAAGGAGGATCAAACTAACATGATATCTGACAGCTTTGAGATGATGACTAAATAGCTCACATATCACAGTCTACCACTTTAGTCACTAATCCAAAGCCAGAGTCTAGTAAAATTCTGTTTAGTCTAGTAAGATCACCTAATCCATTGATTGACTTAAAATGTACTGAAAATGATGCAGAGCCAAGTTGGGACTAGTATACTCAAACTGTTAAACATGTCTATCTTCCTGTAATCTTTTGCAAGTTCAGTTCAGAGTTACTTCTGTCATGTCATCCCCACATTTGAAAAGGGTCCTATGATTCAAATCTACCTTTTGCACCTCATAATTACCATCATCACAACATGAACTCATATTCCTTGCATAACCTAATATTGACCTCCTGCATGTCATTCACACATTCCATTGAATACACACACCTCTTACATTGTGCACCAAAGTGAAAAATAGATATTAGTAAACATCAGGAAGGTGTCCACCAAGTTGACTGGGTTTAGTGTGTAATCACAGCACAAGAGTGAACAGGAAGGAGAGGAGGTCAAGCTTCCAAACATGAATACATTGGAAACTGATGCAGATGGGGATCCTGACACTGGGAAGAGGGCAGTCCTTTGCTTCAGAATAAAGGCAAATAGTGTTGAGTACATCACTGATGGCCGAGACATCACCAATCGTGAAGAAATTACTGTTGCCTAGGTTAATCAAGCCCCGCATACAAATATCTTGAAAAACACATTCAAAATACACATCTCCGAACATATTCAGTCTTGATGCTATGGCAGAAAAAAATATGACACAAAACCTATCTTACAAACATTCAGGTAATAATCAAAATGAAGAACAAACCAACAACCAGTCACTACACTTAGTCACAACACCAGCATTAGTGAGTGAGGGAATTTGGTTAAAAAGGTTTTGAAAAGTACTTCAGTTACATCACGGCATGTCAACTTAATGTGGGACGAAAGCCTAAAGTGGTGCAGGTCTCAGATGTTTACCACCACTGTGAAACCCACGAGCACAGGTATGGTGCTGACAAACCTAGAAACATAATCTGGTCAAATCAGGAATCGAACCCCCTATCAAAGGTTTCTGGCACACCAAAGGGTACCATCACTAGAACGCTGCCTAGCAGCTGATAGTGAGTGAGTGAGTGAGTGAGTATTCCAACCAGGGTACAAAAGCGGAAAGAAACCCTTGGCGTGAATCTTGTTGTATACAATCAGCCATATTCTACCAATAGCATGGTTGCTTTAAACCTGAATCTGGGCCAGCCAGACACCCGTTGATGTCACAGGGGTCAAGTCAGGTCTTACAATAAACATAGGGAGCTGGGGTCCTATTCTGCCCCAGGATCCACAGAAGGGAGCGTCGAAAAAAGCTGGCCAAAAAACACTAGCCAACAAGGTCATATGATCTTCTGTTTCTCTGTGGAACGCTTGACATAATATTAATTAGCATAACAGGCAGGTAAGTGGACTCCTCAACATGCATGCATGCCAGCAGGGTTCTGGACTGTTTTTTGTGCATGCAGACATGTTTTGTAAAAAGGATAATAATTCAGAAATAGTGAGGACATTGACAAAAACACTACCAAAATTAACAATTAAAGATGAAAAATTAGCTGCAGATGAAATATTTTGAATAAGTATTCCTAAACCCATGAGAAGAGAGAAAACTATCCATTTCTAGTTCCATATACTGCAACCACAATTTTGAAAAAGTTACAATGTAGCTTGTGGACAAAGTAGCCTAATTCCCCATCTCCATTCAAACATGGATAATACAGGGATACCAAAGGTATATCAGAGTTACTTCCCCTTCACCATACCATCAACATTTACTTTCCCATGTACAATGTACAGACTACAGAGATCACAACATTTCCATAAACTGCAGTGGGAGCATGACGACAAATGTCCACATATTTATATGACTCCCACAGGTTCAAACTAACATCCCACTACAAACAATGATGAACTTGATTCTACCCTAACTCCCCTTGTTGTGGCACTCACTACAGCTCCCACTATGCTGGTGTGGTATGTTAACACAATGGGTGGTTTGATTCTACCCTAACTCCCCTTGTTGTGGCACTCACTAAAACTCCCACTCACTATGCTGGTGTGGTATGTTAACACAATGGGTGGTTTGATTCTACCCAAACTCCCCTTGTTGTAGCACTCACTACAGCTCCCACTATGCTGGTGTGGCATGTTTACACAATAGGTGGTTTGATTCTACCCAAACTCCCCTTGTTGTAGCACTCACTACAGCTCCCACTATGCTGGTGTGGCATGTTAACACAATGGGTGGTTTGATTCTACCCAAACTCCCCTTGTTGTAGCACTCACTACAGCTCCCACTATGCTGGTGTGGCATGTTTACACAATAGGTGGTTTCACTTCCTTCACCCTCTTAGTAATATTTCAAAGGAGTGCCATTCAAAACCTGTATACCACAATGCAGCGCCCAAACCAGGAATGATTTGTGGCACCTGCTCTTGTTAGGACAAGTACATCCTTGTTGCTTTGAGATTATACATCTACAGTGAAACATGGTTATAACAAACTCCCCAGACAATTTTTACTTGTATCCATGGAAATTAGCATTAGCCAACTAGCCCAACCAGCTTTGTTTATGTTAAGGTATCCTAAGGTCTGGGGTTAGAGTACCGTAATATAAAGCCTTCTTTTTTATTTTGGCAAGTATGGACATATTTGAAAGTCATAACAAGTTCTTGGTATTTTCATAATTAGTTACAGAAGAGCTTTGCTATCAAAGAAACAATTATTGCAGTGCTAGTTCATTTTAGCAATTATTTTGTTGTACAGAGCTTGTTACTTATGAATTTTAAAGGACTATTGAATTAATTTGTAATAACCGCTGTGGTCCTATGTGCGTGTTCATTATAACCATGTTTTACTGTATTTCATATGCTCACAGCATGATGGCGAAGTGAAATAGTTCCAGTGTTCTCCAAGTACTTAAACTAAATTATGGTTATTATCTATGGACACCTTACCATAATAGTGGAGTAGGCCAATCATGGGTTTCACATATTGTACCACAATGTGGGGACTTGAACCCAGGTCTTCATCATGATCGACCAATGCTTCAACCACTAGGCTACCCTACAGACCCACATTTCTATAGCAACGTACAGTCATTATCATAGCACTGTAACAAGCAAAGTATATGAAGGACTGTTCTTTAGACACTCTGAAAGGTATTTTATCAGTGAGTGAGTTTGGTTTTACGCCGCTTTTAGCAATATTCCAGCAATATCACGGCGGGGGACACCATAAATGGGCTTCACACATTGTACCCATGTCGGGAATCAAACCCGGGTTTTCGGCGTGACGAGCGAACGCTTTAACCACTAGACTACCCGACCGTTCCTGGTATTTTATCAACCAGAACAGCTCCAGATATTGCATGTGGTGATCAACATGATCTTGTGAATGGCTAATTGTTTCAACAAAGCAATAGCATGACCACTAAGTGTGAGGCTCACAAATTCCCCATATTTTCTTATTCATTTGGGAGCAATTTTTCCGTCGACCAACAGATGTTTGATAAACACAAAGCCATGACATCAATCTAATTCAAGTATCAGCTGAGAGTGGGTCTTCCATGAAGTTCACCCTACACTGGTCACACCATCCAACACATGGGCCTGGTAGTCAGCTCTTCCTGGACTCCAAGGAAACACTGTCTGTTATCATGTAGTGAAGTAAAGGAAGGCTGTGACTGAATTTTAACGTCATTACATCCAATTTAACATCAACATAGTTACTGCACTCACAGTGCTACGATCAGTATGTGGACTGTGTACTCAAGGCATCATTCCACATCTTAGCATTAACTGTTGTAGACTCCCATACCTTTAACATAGATTTACAGCAGTGCTAGTGTGACAATCAACATGTCGAGACTATCAACTGAGCTTCATTCCACATCTTAGCACCACATATGAAGCAAGGAGCATCTCCTGGATTATTCATGCAATAAATAAATTCATTATGTGTGCAGACATCTAGACCTACCTTCGTTTATTTGGCGGCCCCTTCGTCTGTATAATGTCTTCATTCATCTCCTCAGCTCGCGATCGCATCTACATAAACAAAGTGTGGATTGTTATAGGCAAAAGTCTCTCAACAGTTCATCATCGGTCTATCAACAGTCATAGTTGAAAACTGTTAAATAGGATGACAAGCAGACAAATGCTGCATCATATCATATCAAGACTCGTCACTTTTCCAGCCGAATCACGTAAACAATTACGACAGGCATGGTTGCATGATTGTCAGGCCATCACCACCTGACGCTGGATGGTTGGCTCTTGCACCAAGCATGGGATTCTGGACATCTGGTCAGCCCAGGATCCCCTGTGAACAGTTCCAATTCCTTCTACAGGATCATAATTTCCTTCTTTTAGTCTGACACAAGTACCAATAATATTTGTTTTCAAACATTTACATATCAAAAACAACATAGATTGAATAAGTAAGTGTTGAGTATCTCTTTGAACACCCTACCATTTCATGACTTTGTGACTCAGCTAACGTTTGGAACTAAACCAGGTCGTGATCACCACCACTAGTGAGTGAGTGAGTTAAAGTTTAACGTCACATCGGCAATATTTCAGCAATATCGTGACGAAACAAAAGTTGACATTAACAATATAATTTAAACTGTATACAATTCTGCCGCCACTAAGCTCCAGGCAAATGATTTAGATAGAAAGGGCCCCCATTCATCCTACCCCCAATTAAGGAAGAACAAGCTCCCAGGTTCTCATCGCCGCTAAGCCTACTGTCCCACCACACAAAGAATGACCCCGCCAGGTGATCACTACCAAGCTCCCACACAAACAGCATATGGCATGTTCGGAACTTACCAGAACCTGTTTCTTCTTCAGATCTTCCAGGAATTTCTTCATATCCTCATCAGCTACATCCAAAGCAGTCTGACCCTACAGAAAACAATCTATCTCGTCACTGACATCTTAGTATTCTTTGTCATAAAAGTTTGTCGTGAGTGAGATGGATGTAACGCCACATTAAACAGTATTCCAGTTATATTATGGCATGTCAGCTTTATTCGGGAGAAAAATTTGAAGTGATGCAGGTCTCAAATGTTTACAACTTTGGTGAAACCCACAAGCATGGGCATGGTGCTGATAAACTTAGAAACATAATCGGGGTGAACTGGGATTCTGAACTCACGATCAAAGTTTTCTGGCCTGCCCAAGGGACACAACTCTGCACAGTGAATTGTGGCACCTTAGACAACAAGTACAAGTGTGTAGCATGTGTAACAAGGCCTGTCACTTCTGGGGACAACACATATCCAAATTAGACAGAAGCTGTTTCAAATAAAAACAAACAAATACACAGGGTAGTTTTTCCATTATGAAATCTAATATAAGTTCATAAGTCAGTAACCCTGCAAACAGCATAGGCACCGTGGGAGCTAGTCCAAAGTAAGTACTGTCATCTGCTCAGCATCATGTCTCTTGTTAACTTTCTGGGGTATTAAACCATCAAAATTCCAAACTGCAATTCATTTGACATGGAAAACATTGTTCTTTAACTGCCATCAAGCCTAATTCATAGGGCTATAACGATTCACCGATACCTACGATATCAATACTTAGGTACAGACAATACGTGAAAAGTCTGTTGTAGGTAGACAACCACATAACAGTCTCTATCGCCACTCTAATCAGAAACAGGCAAGCTTTCTCATACCCAAGGGGACATAACTCATACAGTCAAGCAGGAGTTGTCTCCCTTGAACTAGTCCCTCTTGATTACCATATTTAGGCAACACACTCAGACAACACTAAAAGTTATCCCAGAAAATGTTCTGCTCCATTAACAAATCATCAGCTCAAGGTGTCCTTTGATCACATATCTTCTAAAAGAAGGGCATTTTTTTTTTTACTGAAAATATATGTGTATACGTGTATTAAAATGAAATCATCTAAGGGTATCAAAGCATTGACGGAAAGATTTCTTCTTAAGGCATAAAACATGATTTATGACACACCAATAAATTCAATTAATAAATTACACACTGACTAAGCCAACCCTCTGTACACCTGCAGTGTCACCAATTCAATATTTCCAACACAACTTGACCATGAACACTAATGGCTTTGCTGCATGAACTTACAGCTGTGTTCTTCTTCTCCATGTCACAGAGCTGCTCCACAAGCATCTGACATGCCTCACACTGGGCCCAGTGGGCGGCAGCATGCAGCGGTGTCCACCCGTCATTGTCCTCCGCATTGATGTCTACACCTGCCTGTAGTAGAACCCTGCAACACATCAACCATACAGGTTTAGAACTAAACAAAGGCTTTACTCATCCAGGTAAACATAAAATGCCCTTGTAATGTCAAAACAATGGGGAAATTGGGAAATTAGAACTAGCCCCTGGCTAGCGGGCTAGTGTTAAGTTCTAACCCTGCCATACAATTCCTGTGGCATTGATGGGAATAACGCTGATATTCTGGGTAAATTGTGAGTGAGTGAGTTTAACGCCGCTTTTAACAGTATTCCAGTTATATCACGGAGTGTCAGCTTGATGTGGGAGGAAAGCCCGAAGTGATGCAGGTCTCAGAAGTTTACCACTTTGGTGAAACCCACGAGCATGGGTATGGTGCTGACAAACCTAGAAACACAATCGGGGTGGACTGGGATTCGAACCCACAATCATAGGTTTCTGGCACGTCCAGGGGACGCAACTCTGCACAGCGAATCGCGGTGCTTTAGACGACTAGGCCACCCGTGCCCCCTATTCTGAGTGAACTACCATTTAATGTTCTGCAGGCAATATGATGCAATATATAGTGATATTTTGTTAATGCTCACTTCTCAACTCGATAAAGTGTTGATGATGCAGCTTCATGGTTATGGTGCAATACCTTTAGGCACTAAGATGTAATTATGCCAGTCTGTTTCTTTTGAACATTGGTATAACTTGATGTACTATGGTTCCAAGGACTTCCGAGTTCACTGTACATGGTTACATGAAGGTAACATGTGGAAAAGGCACAAGATCCCAAACTGCACTAAATTTGACAAAAAACATTTGACATAAATTTGGTACTAACTGTGCCCTGTGAACGAAAGTTACTTCACACCACAGACAGCTCTATTCCAGCCACAGTGGCATGTACATAATCGGGACCAGGAAACCAGTGACCCAAAGCATGACCACCACCACCATGTGAGGGGAGGTGAAATTGGGTTTACTCTGAGCAGACCAGTCCTTGTGTTAGCCCCTAATGCCCAGCGCCAGACAGGGTAACAACAAGTATGATCTTTTAACATCTGTTGGAATGACGCTGCTGGGACCCCCAACATGTGATCAGGGTACAATGACATGCAATGACTGAGCCAGGTCACAGTATAACCACCTGATCCCCACAAGGAACTGGAGACCTCTTCTGCCCTGGGCCACTCATGGGGTGCGCCCCTTCTACCTACTTGACAACTGTAATATATCCTTTAGCAGCGGCCACATGTAGAGCTGTGGCGCCAGTCTTTGCATGCTTCTTCTCTTTGATGATGCGACTGTTGAGCCACTGGTTGGCGTCGGCTAACATCCGGTTCTCTTCCTCCTTCCTTGCCTCGTCTGCATCAATACCTGGAACACAGTAACACAGTTACTTCCAGGCCTCATTTCTGTCTCAGTTGCATTGAAGAATAACTTTTCAAGGCTGAAACTTTATTATAATTTTCAGCAGTTTGCAAAAACTGATGTGCTGCAGTGAGTGCGTTGGGATTAATGTCGCTTTGAACAGTATTCTAGTTATATCACGGCATGTCAGCTAAATGTGGGAGGAAAGCCCGAATGGGACATTATATTTACAACCTAGTAAGAACTAAATGCCTTGTTATTATTGGACTCTAATGTTGCCAGGTGGCTGGTTATACAGTGTTTGTCCTACTATGTTACCTTGCTTGTCTAGCTCCGCCTGTAGTAGATTCTCCATCTCCTCATCTTCACAGATGTCTATAGGAAGGTCCCCGTCATTGTTGACGGCTGCAATGTTAGCCCCCATTTTGATCAGGTACCTGAAAACAAAGCACACTTACCATCAAACTACAGCATGAAGACCTGGGCCCAGGTTCACAAAGTCATTGTAGTGCATACGACTATCATATCTCCGAAACTTAGACTTAGACTTAGACATAGACTTACGACAGGTGTAGCGCTATGACTATCGTAACTCCTATATCTTAACATAGACTTCCGGCAGGTGTAGCGCTACGACTATCGTAACTCCTATATCTTAACAAAGACTTTCGGCAGGTGTAGCGCTATGACTACCGTAGCTCCTATATCTTAACATAGACTTACGGCAGGTGTAGCGCTACAACTATCATAACTCCTATATCTTAACATAGACTTACGGCAGGTGTAGCGCTATGACTATCGTAACTCCTATATCTTAACATAGACTTACGGCAGGTGTAGCGCATACGACTATCGTAACTCCTATATCTTAACATAGACTTACAGAAGGTGTAGCGCTACGACTATCGTAACTCCTATATCTTAACATAGACTTACGGCAGGTGTAGCGCTACGACTATCGTAACTCCTATATCTTAACAAAGACTTACAGAAGGTGTAGCGCTACGACTATCGTAACTCCTATATCTTAACAAAGACTTACAGAAGGTGTAGCGCTACGACTATCGTAACTCCTATATCTTAACAAAGACTTACAGAAGGTGTAGCGCTACGACTATCGTAACTCCTATATCTTAACATAGACTTACGGCAGGTGTAGCGCTATGACTATCGTAACTCCTATATCTTAACATAGACTTACGGCAGGTGTAGCGCTATGACTATGGTAACTCCTATATCTTAACAAAGACTTACAGAAGGTGTAGTGCTACGACTCCGGAGTTACCATACAGAAAGTTTGATGGCACACCTGTGACTGAAAGCACAGCCACGTCCCCAGTTATCTATTTAGTCGTTTCTTATGACAAGCTTGACGCAGCTCATCAAACATATCACATCCCCAGTACCTTGCAATTTCTGTGAAGCCACACGACGCTGTTGCATGTAGCGGTGTCCATCCTTCATTGTCGCAGACATCCACGTCCGCCACCTTCTCCACCAGGAACTCCACCATTTCCAGGTTGTCATCGATACAAGCCTACAATATAAATGTTATACTGAATAAATGTCTTCGATACACGCTTTCACCACAGATGTTATACTGAATAAATGTCATTGATAAACGGCTATAACACAAACATCGATACTGGAGTATTTGGCATCGATACACGCCTACACCACAAACATCGATACTAAGTATTTGGCATCGATACACGCCTACACCACAAACATCGTTACTAAGTATTTGTCATCGATACACGCCTACACCACAAACATCAATACTAAGTATGTGTCATCGATACACACCTACACCACAAACATCGATACTAGGTATGTGTCATCGATACATGCCTACAACAAATAATTTACTGAATATGTGCTTCATTCTGATTGGCTATTTCACAACTAGTGTTCCAGTGTTTGGACTGTTTGTAAGACAGTGTAGCAAATGGACGTCACGTTAATGCACTGTCACAAATAACCGACAATGATCATGAAGTCATCCATTCTTCATAGCATAATGTCGATTTTATACAATGTTGTGCAAACAACAGACTGAGCTAGAGTCAGTCTCTTTTAGTTATCAGAGAAACATGTTTCTACACAACACAATGATTGTTAGTGAACAAATATACCTTTAAATAACAAAAAGCCCTGCATAATTTTATCAATATGAAAAAAAAGCATTCTTAAACCAGCTCGTTTTCTGGTAATTCTTGGTAGGTGAGGAATTAATAGTTTTTCTATTATAGACAAGTTACTGCTCAAACTGCATGCACACCAGTGAATCTTGGTGTATACATAATTACATAGTGAAGATCCCAGGGTCTCAAATTATTTTTCCGCTGTTTGAACTTTCCAATCCATGCTGACAGTATACCTGGGTACTGCTAAAACTGGGATTGATGATGTCCACAGATTGCTACCCCTCACATAAGTAGCCTCAGCTCCTCTGTTCCTGTCATACTGGTCCCCAAGCATTTCTAAATATATGCCACTCATGACATCACTCACTTACTCGACTAACCACTCAACTGACCAGTTGAAAAATATATCAATATATATAAAAACATCTTATTTTTGGTATACTCTGTACTCTGACGTGTTTAATCTATGTTCGCATTCATGTTGTGAGTTTGAAAGTATTCATCCATGCTTACAAAGCTGTCAAACTTTGAGTCAATTGATTAATAATATGCAGGAAAAATATTAATTTTGACAATATATTTCTCACAGAGCAGTATCAAATTACAATTCATTGAACATAATTTGCTATAAATACAATTACAACTTGGTGATGGCATCTGATCATCCATGACATTTTGCACTTTAGTAAAAAGAATTCAATGAAGCAATTTTAGCACACTGAAAGCAGTAAGTGATAAGTAATAAAAAATTTGAATGTACAAGTTATCACTACTGATATATACCTGCAATATCCAAGAAAATGCAAGGAAAGTCCATTCAGGAAATGTATAGAACACAAATGATCAATCAGAAATGGTACTCAGTCGCATATATTCTATTCAAATACAATATTCCATTTGCAGTTCTACATTGCTATAACTTATAGGTAAAAGATTTACACCTAACTGAATTTAATAACCACTGTACTTATGAAACAATTTCTAATGAGTTCTTTTGAAAAGGAAGTGACAGTAGATGTACTCTGAGGTTAGTGGAGCACCATGGCATCAGTGACTAATGATGGAATCAATCCTGAGTTCTGGTAGAGGAAGGCAAGCACATATACCAGAGGGCTACCTCAACAGCACAAAGTCAGTGTGTCTGTCGGCGTGATACTGTCAGCCAAAAGACTCACAAACAACTGGTAACACATCATCAACCACCTTAGGATATCAAGTCATCTGCAAAGAGATCAAATGCTGTAACTACACAATCTCCCCTAAATAAGATCTTTTACTCCTATTCAATACCTCTTTCCATCAAGAGGTAACAAACCCTCATGTGAGGTGAACACTGTGGGGGTTTTAAGTCCAAACCAGATTATCCAGTGATTGATATTTTGAGCAACGATGCTGGGGTACGATGACATGCAATCAACCAAATCACAGAGTCCACCCAATCCATTGAGTCCCTCTTACGACCAGCAGGGGTTGCTCAGGCTATTTCTAAGCCTGGATGCCCACATGATGGTTCGACAGAGAAGCTGGCTTAAGTAAAGACATCTTCTGTACCCAAACATAGATACATCATCCATCATCCTAGCCATGGTCACACAGGAGCCAACTGTAGTAAGTACTTATCATACATAATACAAGCCACTTCAAAAGACCACTCCTGTATATACAGATCCATTTCCTGCCTGTTCCAGAGATGGAAATAATAGTCACATCAATCAGAACTTAAATTTTATGAAAATATTTACATTTTCCTACAAGTTGCATAAATCAGACTTCAAAGACAGAAATATGATAAGAAAACCGATCATCTATTACAACAGTGTATACAGTGTTTGATCAGAATGTAATTACTCAGTATTGACAGCACCGCACCTGCACTGTGGTGGAGAGAGTGTGTGCCATGCACTCTAACAGCCATGTCATCATGGCAGTGTACCCTAAATCAATAGCTGGCATTACATCATTACAGAGATGGTAGACTTGCTGTCAGTCAAGGACTTGCCGTATTTTCAAAATACACCCAATATCAAAATGGAGCATTACATATAGTTTCAATACAGTTAATTTTATCGCTAATATTGTGATGAAACATCAAGGTTACATGTAGGTACAGAGAAGGGGGCATATTGAGCAGAAATGAAAACACTCAACACTGTAACCATGGTAACACAGCATCTATCAAAGAAATACAAACTATTACACACACTATTACATTACTCAAACCTTTGTGTTTGAAACAAGAGTCATCAGGAGATGACATATCCCCCAGTCTGGTGCAATTTGGAAATGTAGTTTGGCTACTTATACCCCACTTTGGGTTCATTGCCATTGGATACCTTTAGTGCAGAGAAGAAAACATAATGCTGTTCAGTACTTTTCAAAATCTCAAATCATCAAAAGGCACCAGTTCACCACTAGACTGATCTGCATAGCAAGTTTCATCCAGAACAACTTGTTTTCCTCATGAAGAATCATGAAAACAAAACAAACTAAGAAGGAAAAAATCCCAAATCATCAATAGGCACAAGTTCTCCACTGGACTGATCTATATAGAAAGTTTCAATAAGAAATATTTAACAGTTTTGGAGTTCGGGACAGCTGATGGAACGACGGACAAGGTGATTGCAATTTCCACCAGTTTATCAAACCAGGGGATGATAAAGTGTCATTTTCTCTGCCTGGTGTTTAGCTCAGAGAGTCAAGAGACTTTAGTTACCTGCTTTACATGATCAAGGATATGTTCAACTGTATTGAGATGTACACTGCATGTGCTTTATATTCTATTATCATTTATCATGAACGACAAATACCATACATATGAGAGATGATTACACCTGTATGAAATCATACCAACTGACATCCCAATGCTAACACTAAAATCATCCCATCCACAAACCACACAGCATATATTTCAATACTGCACATTCTTTCACAGCCAGCAAACACAAAGCAATATGACTGATACCAGGTGGTATAATAGCCTAAAATTAAGTCATACCATTCACTGAGTTCGTGTAGGTTAAACATCTCAACTTATTGTATCACAATGATAAGCAACTATTGTGTTGAAGTGTACACAATCTCCTAAATCATAACTCCCTATGTTCTATAGCCCTGAACTCAATGAGTCAGACAGCCAACCAACACAGACATTTACACGCTGGTTAGTACCCAGTAGCATAACCATCCAAATTACTTAATGTCAGAAAGCAATTTCAAGTTTTGTGCATGCATAAAGGTGATATCGTTCCTTGTATTTATCTAATGCCAAATTTCATTTTGTTCCGCCACACTGTGAAGTGTAAAACCATGTGAGTTATCTGCACTGACTGAACCGGAGATAGGAGCTGATTGATAGGGCTCGTCCTGTATGTGGGAGGGAGGAAACAGGGAAGACAATATACTACTATCTGACAGTTGTATGCAGTGTTTGGAATAAAATAAATTGTGAGGTTACCATCAGGACCCACAGACTTTAGAAGCTTCAGGCCCTGACTGAACTCTTCAGGCCATCATTTTAAAAAAACTGCAGGTTATTGTGACAAATAAATTGACACATAAATATATTGCAGGCCATAAGGACCCATTTAAATTCGAAACTACAGGCCCAACACAAGATCTACCTGCAACAGGCCTTCAACCAACCAACCAACCAAAATGACCTGTGATCCACACAATCAGTACAATACACTTATGTAGCACATGCACATTTATATCATATCACAACAAATTTGAAGACATAATGTAAATATTTTTCTGTCGTGAATAATAGATTGATTAATACTTGAACTTATGATGGCAGTTGGACATATTCATGATTTTATCAACCATTTGATGTGACATTCTCCAGTATCATTGCAAAATCATCTTCCCGGGGCAAGGGAGTTAACTGACAATAAAGTCCAGTTTCAACCCTTGAACTATGCTGGAAATGTGGAGTTATATTTTGGCTGGGCTAATGAGCCTATGCATAGTCAATGAAAATCGCGTCACGAAATCGAAATCTGGTTTGGAAACTGAGTGTAGTTTTCGGTCAATAGGATGTTTCAACCCTTGAACTATGCTGGAAATATGGAGTTATATTTTGGCTGGGCTAATGAGCCTATGCATAGTCAATCAAAATCGCGTCACGAAATCGAAATCTGGTTTGGAAACTGAGTGTAGTTTTCGGTCAATAGGATTTGCAAAGCATGTGTACCATCGACTTAGCGCCAACAGATATTTTCCAAATCTTTTCATGCTATTAATCAAGGTGCTCACGTGATTTGATGCACTTTGCGAAGTAAGGCCCATTTTATTATAATATATATAGATCTTGATTAGCAATCAGATCGTCTTCACTGAGCGCAGCCATTTGTTTGAAGCAAATGCAAGTGATATGAGAGGTGGAATC